TTGTTGTGAAAAGAGAAAATTAGAAGGGAGGGAGAGACTAAGAGGGAGGGGGAGGGAAAGGATGAGGAAGGAGGAGAGGAGAGAGAAAGAGAAGCGGGAGGGAAAAGATGGGGATAAAAGGAAGAAGGAGAGGAAGGGAGGAGGAGGAGAGAGAGAGAGACAGAGAGAGAGAGAGAGAGAGAAGAGAGAGAAGAGAGAGAGAGAGGAGAGGAGAGGGAGGGAGGGAGAGGAGGGAAGGGAGAGAGAGTGAGAGAGAGAGAGTGAGAGAGAAGAGAGAGAGAGAGAGAAGAGAAGAGAGAGAAGAGAGAGAGAGAGAGAAAGAGAGAAGAAGAGAGAAGAGAGAGAGACAGAAGAGAAGAGAAAGAAAGAGAGAGAGAGAGAAGAGGCGTTCTCGGCGCGGCAAATAAGGTCCGACCGCCGTCCAGTAAAGGCCAGGTAGACGCAGCAGCCACCCTGGGGATAGAGGGAGGGGGGGGGGTAGGGATGCAAGGCTCAGGTACCCTCTCTCTCTCCTCTCTCTCTCTCTCTGCTCTCTCTCTCATCTCTCTCTCTCTCTCTCTCTCTCTCTCTCTCTCTCTCTCTCTCTTCTCTCTCTCTCTCTCTTCTCTCTCTCGAGATTAGGAAGGGGAGCAGCAGGGGAGGGAATGAGGAGGGACTCGTGTCTACGGCAGGAGGAGGCGAGGGAGAATGAGGGAAGGAATGGGAGTCCCTCCGTGTACGGCAGGGAGGGAGTGTTACTGGCAAGGGGGGAGGGACTGAGGGAGGGAGTCCCTCTGTTACTGGAAGGGGAAGGGAGGGAATGAGGGAGGACTCGTGTTACTGGTTAGGGGGAGGGAGGGGAGGGAGGGAATGAGGGAGGGAGTCCCTCCGTGTTACTGGCAGGCGGAGGGAAAGGAGGATGAGGGAGGAGACTCGTGTTACTGGCAGGGGAGGGGAGGGGAGGGAGGGAGGGAAGTCCCTCCGTGTTACTGGCAGGAGGGAGGAGGGGAGGGAATGAGGGAGGGACTCGTGTTACTGGCTGTCACGCCGATACTTTGCGGGAAGTACGAAGTCAATACATCAATAGTCTAAATTCAAGCTAATTCATATTCTGACGCAAAACAGCGCTAAAACACACCGGAACAAACAAGTTACTGATGCAGCCGCAAGTCATAAAAGAGAGCGGCTGAGACACGCTGGCGACACTGCCAGACACATTTCCAAAATTCTGCGTACGGACACCACAACATGAGGGGTTGATTGGGCGTGAGAGAGTAAGGAATAACGGTGGAGGACAGGGAGGGAGAGAGGAGAAGGGAGAAGAAGGAGGAGAGAGAAGAGGGGGAGAAGGAGACAGGAGAGAGAGAGAGAAGAGAATGGAGAGGAAGAGAGGAGAAAGGGAGAAAAGAGAATGGAGAGAAGAGAGAGAGAAGGGAGAAGAGAGAGAAGAGAGAGAGAAAAGAGAATGGAGAGAGAGGAGGGAGAGAGAAAAGAGAGGAAGAAGGGAGACAGGGAGAAAGGGGAGAAGGAGAAGGGAGTAGAGAGATAGCACAAGGCCCCGGGACAGCTGGCGAAGGACGCGGTGGCACTCGAGACGGACGAGCACGCCGGGGGGCCATAACACGCAGATTCAAAACGGACCTGCTGGATTGCCCGCCGCCATTATCACCAAGCCAAGTCAACAGGTTACGCGGACGGGAAGGAGGAGAGAAGGAGGGCCGAGAAGAAGGAAGGGGGACGGGCGCGGGCAGCAGGTGTACTCTCCCCCTCACCCCCCTCCTCTCCCCCTACACCCTCCCCTCCTCGCACCCTCCGAGCCCCTCCTCTCCCCTCACCCTCCCCCCTCGCCCTCCCTCCTCCCTACACCCTCCCCTACCCTCGCACCCTCCGAACCCTCCCTCCTCCCTACACCCTCCCCTCCGAGCCCCTCCCTCCCCCTCCCTCCCCGAGCGCCGTCTCCCGAGGCGATCTCCATTGTCCTTTCGCAGCTAATCCAGTTACGCTTGGTATGCACACGCGAGAAGGGCGTCGAGTTACTCTGGTTGCTTTGATGCGTTCATTTAGCGGCCTCTGTTTACGTCCGGGTGAGCGTCTGTGTTGGGTCGTTCGTCTGGTGTGATGTGTGTTGTGTGTGTGTGTGTGTGTGTGTGTGTGTGTGTGTGTGTGTGTGTGTGTGTGTGTGTGTGTGTGTGTGTGTGTGTGCTGTGTGTGTGTGTGTTGTGTGTGTGTGTGTGTGTGTGTGTGTGTGTGTGTGTGTGTGTGTGTGTGTGTGTGTGTTTGTCGCGCGCGTGGTGTCTGGACCCGTGCTTATTGCTATAATGTATTCTCCTATTGCTATAATCTATTTGCGTGCAGTCGGCGCGTCAGCGTGCTAAATCCACACGTTTATAAATCAGACCGCGATCGATTCATCTGAGCGTTTAATCATTCATTCATCCGCACCTGCCGATATGCAAATGCGCCTCAGCCTCTGGCGCGCGCGGCCGGCCTCGCCAGGACAGCAGGACTTACCTAGGGCAAAGGAAGTCCTGCTGGGAGGGCTCCGAGGCCGCAGCAGACGCGGAGCAGGTGGGCGCGAGCGGCCCCCAGCTGGTCACTGCCCCGAGCACGGAGGATGGCCCGCAGGAGGCAGGTACACACCAGCTGGCCCGCCCTGGTCTTCCTGCTTCCCCCGCTGATGCTGAGCTGCTCTCTCACTGCTGACGGGCCTCGGCTGCTCCTGTCAGCGACGATGCCTTCCCGGGGCGCGGCATGGCGCTTGCACAACACCAAGGGCGCGAGTGCCACTTCAAATGTTAGGGATTTCGCGGCACTGGGCGAGCGTGTTACGGTGTCGCCGATCGCCAGAGAGTGAGGGACGTGCACACAGGCAGCGCCGTATAATCCGAAACGTTTAATCACTGGGCCACGGCGAGAGTTCTCAGCGAAACGACACCGCTGCGTCGGGAGGCACCACGACTTGCCAGAGGCGACTGCGACTGGTTGGGCGGAGCGGCAGCGACTGCGGCGGATCGGCCAGGGAGTGTGGCGGGACGTCTCGGCTGGGCCCGTCCGCGGCTGTGTTGTCCCGCTGGCGCCTGGCACGTTACTGGCCCTCCGCCTGGTCACCGCCACGCAGCTAGTGCCACCGCCACCCGGTCCCCGCGTCCTCCCCTCCCCGCAGCCCTCACGCTCCCCCAGCCCCGAACTTAGCGACCAATCCTGCAGCCCCGCTCCACCCCCCTCCCCTCCCTCCCTCCCTCCCTCCCCCCGGCTTCGCAACAATTCTGCCCTTAGCCTTTCCAGCAATCACCCAATACATTCCCTCCGCCCTCCCTCCCTCCCCTCTCTTTCCCTCCCTTCCCCTCCCCCTTTTCACCAGCTGCTTCTCCCCTCTCCCTCCCTCCCTAAATCATCCTCCCTACCCTTTCTCAGCCTGTCTCTTCCTCCTGAAATCGAGCCTTTCCCTCCTCTCGGTTTCCCTCCATCCGTCCTGTCATCCCTCCTTTATCATCTCCTCTCCTATCTACCTTGTTCTGCAAGTGTCTCCTTCACCCGACTTCCACATCTGACCCAACTCCTCATCAAGCCATTTCCTCCAAGACCGCATCCATCGCTGTCACATTTCCTCCGTCTCTGGCCTTCCCCTCCTCCCCTCTTCCTCCCTTTCCTCCTCGCCCTCCCTCCACCTCCTCTTCCTCCCTTTCCGCTCCCTTCGCCCTGCTCCCTTTGGCCCTCCCTCCTCCCCTCTTCCTCCCTTCCCCTTCGCCCCCCTTCCCCTTCTCCCTTCTCCCCTTCTCCCTTCCTCTCCCCTTTCCGCCCCTTCCCTGCCCTCCCCCGTCCCCTTCTCCCCCTTCCTTCTTTCCGCCTTCCTCTTCGCCCTCCCTTTCCCTCTTCCTCCCCTTTCCCCGCCCCTTCGCCCAGCTCCCTTCGCCTCCCCTTCTCCCCTCTTCCTCCCTTTCCTCCCTTCCCCTCCCTTTCGGCCTCCCTTTCCACCTCCTCTTCCTCCCCTTCTCCCCCTCTTCCTCCCTTTCCGCTCCCTTCGCCCTCCCTTTCCACTTCTCCCCTCTTCCTCCCTTTCCCCCCCCTTCCCCCTTTCCTTCCCCCCTCCTTTCCGCCCCCTTCCTACCCTTCCCTTTTCCACCCCCTCTTCCTTCCTTACCTTCCCAACCCAGCGTGATTCCTCCTCGCAAACCCTCTCACCCTAATACGTTGCTCTTTCCTCACGCTTTCTAGGGAGCTTGCCTTCGGGTCCAGCTTTTCCTGGCGAGTCAAGAACTTCTTTGGGAGGAAAGAAGAGGACAAAGAGGAGAGAAAACGAGGAAGGAAACGGGAAGAAAGCGAGAGATATGATAAGAAAATGCGAAGAAAGCGAGAGATATGATGAGAAAATGCGAAGGAATCGGTAGATATGAAAGAGAATATGTGAAGAAATAGATAATGATGAGAAAATGTGAAGAATCGATAGATAATGATGAGGAAATGTGAGGAAATCGATAGATATGAAAGAGAATATGTGAAGAAATAGATAATGATGAGAAAATGCGAAGTAAGCGGTAGATATGATGGCGAAAATGTGAAGAATTATGAACGCGAGGATAATTTGAAGAAAATTATAAATATATAGAAAAAAATGAAAAGAAAACGATGAGCATGATAAACTTGAAGAAAATGTGAATCATCCGAGATAATATGACGTGAAAATAATATTGGTGTAAAGATACATAATATGGACTCCTAAAAAAACGATAGAAATTAAAATAGAAAGCGACGTAAACATCCTTCAGAGAGTGAAAACGAAAGAGCAAGACGAAGCGAAAAAAGAAGAAAAGAAAAAAAAGAAAAAGAAAAATAAGAAGAAAAGAAAAAAGAAAGAAAAAAAAAGAAAAATAAAAGAGAAGAAGAAAAGAAAGAAAAAGAAAAAAAGTGAACACTTTCAGAAAGGGTGATCCGAGCGCCCGCCCGCCCCGGCCCTCATCAGGCGAGTGCCGCGGGCGCCCCTCGTGCCTCGTCGCCCGGCAACGCTCTCGTGGAGTGACCCTCTATGTCACGTCCCCGCCTCCTGACCCTCCCTCGCTCATGGCACACCCCGGGCCCCTGGGGATGGCGCCCTCCTGTCGAGTTCCTTCTTCAGGCTCCGTCCTCCCGGGCCCCTGAGGATGGCGCCCTCCTGTCGAGCTCCTTCTGCAGGCCCCGTCCTCCCGGCCTGAGGAGGGCGCCCCCCTGTCGAGTTCCTTCTGCAGGCCCCGTCCCTCCGGGCCCCTGAGGATGGCGCCCTTCCGTCGAGTTCCTTCTTCAGGCCTGTCTCCGGGCCCCTGGGATGCGCCCTCCTGTCGAGCTCCTTCTGCAGGCCCCGTCCTCCCGGGCCCCTGAGGAGGGCGCCCTCCTGTCGAGTTCCTTCTGCAGGCCCCGTCCTCCCGGGCCCCTGAGGATGGCGCCCTTCCGTCGAGTTCCTTCTTCAGGCCCTGTCCTCCCGGGCCCCTGAGGATGGCGCCCTTCCGTCCTTCTGCAGGCCCCGTCCTCCCGGGCCCCTGAGGATGGCGCCCTCCTGTCGAGTTCCTTCTGCAGGCCCGTCCTCCCGGGCCCCTGAGGAGGGCGCCCTCCTGTCGAGTTCCCTTCTGCAGGCTCCGTCCTCCCCGGGCCCCTGAGGAGGGCGCCCTCCTGTCGAGTTCCTTCTCAGGCTCCGTCCTCCGATGGCGCCCTCCCCCTGCAGGCCCTGAGGCGCCCTCCTGTCGAGTTCCTTCTGCAGGCCCCGTCCTCCCGGGCCCCTGAGGAGGGCGCCCTCCTGTCGAGTTCCTTCTGCAGGCCCCGTCCTCCTCCCGGAGGCCCCTGAGGATGCGCCCTTCCTGTCGAGTTCCTTCTGCAGGCCCCGTCCTCCCGGGCCCCTGAGGATGGGCCCTCCTGTCGAGTTCCTTCTCCGTCCTCCCGGCCCCTGAGGATGGCGCCCTCCTGTCGAGTTCCTTCTGCAGGCTCCGTCCTCCGGGCCCTGAGGAGGGCGCCCTCCTGTCGAGTTCCTTCTGCAGGCTCCGTCCTCCCGGGCCCCTGAGGATGGCGCCCTCTGTCGAGTTCCTTCTGTCCTCGGGCCCCTGAGGATGGCGCCCTCCTGTCGAGTTCCTTCTGCAGCTCCGTCCTCCCGGCCCCTGAGGAGGGCCCTCCTGTCGAGTTCCTTCTGCAGGCTCCGTCCTCCCGGCCCCTGAGGAGGGCGCCCTCCTGTCGAGTTCCTTCTGCAGGCTCCGTCCTCCCGGGCCCTGAGGATGGGGCCCTGTCGAGTTCCTTCGCAGGCTCCGTCCTCCCATTCTGTTCCTTCTGCAGGCCCCGTCCTCCCGGGCCCCTGAGGATGGCGCCCTCCTGTCGAGTTCCTTCTGCAGGCCCCGTCCTCCCGGCCCCTGAGGATGGCGCCCCCTGTCGAGTTCCTTCTGCAGGCCGTCCTCCGGGCCCCTGAGGATGGCGCCTCCTGTCGAGTTCCTTCTGCAGGCCCCGTCCTCCCGGGCCCCTGAGGATGGCCCCTCTGTCGAGTTCCTTCTGCAGGCCCCGTCCTCCGGGCCCCCTGAGGATGGGCCCTCCTGTCGAGTTCCTTCTGCAGGCCCCGTCCTCCCGGGCCCCTGAGGATGGCGCCCTCCTGTCGAGTTCTCTGCCCGTCCTCCGGCCCTGAGGATGGCGCCTCCTGTCGAGTTCCTTCTGCAGGCCCCGTCCTCCGGGCCCCTGAGGATGGCGCCCTCCTGTCGAGTTCCTTCTGCAGGCCCCGTCCTCCCGGGCCCCTGAGGATGGCGCCCTCCTGTCGAGTTCCTTCTGCAGGCTCCGTCCTCCCGGCCCTGAGGAGGGCGCCCTCTGTCGAGTTCTTCTGCAGGCCCCGTCCTCCCGGGCCCCTGAGGATGGCGCCCTTCCGTCGAGCTCCTTCTGCAGGCCCCGTCCTCCCCGGGCCCTGAGGATGGCCTTGTCGAGTTCCTTCTGCAGGCCCCGTCTCCCGGGCCCCTGAGGAGGGCGCCCTCCTGTCGAGTTCCTTCTGTAGGCTCCGTCCTCCCGGGCCCTGAGGAGGGCGCCCTCCTGTCGAGTTCCTTCTGCAGGCTCCGTCTCCCGGGCCCCTGAGGATGGCGCCCTCCCTCGAGTTCCTTCTGCAGGCTCCGTCCTCCCGGGCCCCTGAGGATGGGCGCCCTTCCGTCGAGTTCCTTCTGCAGGCTCCGTCCTCCCGGGCCCCTCAATGGGGTCCTTCTGTCGAGTTCCTTCTGCAGGCTCCGTCCTCCCGGGCCCCTGAGGATGGGGTCCTTCGTCGATTCCTTCTGCAGGCTCCGTCCTCCCGGCCCCTGAGGATGGCGCCCTTCTGTCGAGCTCCTTCTGCAGGGTCCTCCCGGGCCCCTGAGGATGGCGCCCTTCCTGTCGACTCTCCGCTCCCGGGCCCTGGGATGGCGCCTTCTGTCGAGCTCCTTCTGAGGCTCGTCCTCCCGGGCCCCTGAGGATGGCGCCCTTCCGTCGAGTTCCTTCTGCAGGCTCCGTCCTCCCGGGCCCTGAGGATGGCGCCCTCCGTCGAGTTCCTTTCTGCAGGCTCCGTCCTCCCGGGACCCTGAGGAGGGCGCCCTCCCGTCGAGTTCCTTCTGCAGGCTCCGTCCTCCCGGGCCCCTGAGGAGGGCGCCCTCCTGTCGAGTTCCTTCTGCAGGCGGGGCCCTGAGGAGGGCGCCCTCCTGTCGAGTTCCTTCTGCAGGCCCCGTCCTCCCGGGCCCCTGAGGAGGGCGCCCTCCTGTCGAGTTCCTTCTGCAGGCTCCGTCCTCCCGGGCCCCTGAGGATGGGGTCCTTCTGTCGAGTTCCTTCTGCAGGCTCCGTCCTCCCGGGCCCCTGAGGATGGCGCCCTTCTGTCGAGCTCCTTCTGCAGGCTCCGTCCTCCCGGGCCCCTGAGGATGGCGCCCTTCTGTCGAGTTCCTTCTCTCCACCTGTCGAGTTCCTTCTGCAGGCCCCGGCCCTGAGGATGGCGCCCTCCTGTCGAGTTCCTTCTGCAGGCCCCGTCCTCCCGGGCCCCTGAGGATGGCGCCCTCCTGTCGAGTTCCTTCTGCAGGCCCCGTCCTCCCGGGCCCCTGAGGATGGCGCCCTCCTGTCGAGTTCCTTCTGCAGGCCCCGTCCTCCCGGGCCCCTGGGGATGGCGCCCTTCCGTCGAGGCAGGCTCCGTCCTCCGGGCCCTGAGGATGGCGCCCTTCCGTCGAGTTCCTTCTGCAGGCTCCGTCCTCCCGGGCCCTGAGGATGGCGCCCTTCGTCGAGTTCCTTCTGCAGGCTCCGTCCCTCCCGGCCCCTGAGGATGGCGCCCTCCTGTCGAGTTCCTTCTGCAGGCCCCGTCCTCCGGCCCTGAGAGGGCGCCCTCCCGTCGAGTTCCTTCTGCAGGCTCCGTCCTCCCGGCCCTGAGGAGGGCGCCCTCCTGTCGAGGGCTCCGTCCTCCGGGCCCTGAGGACGCCCTCCTGTCGAGTTCCTTCTGCAGGCTCCGTCCTCCCGGGCCCCTGAGGATGGCGCCCTCCTGTCGAGTTCCTTCTGCAGGCTCCGTCCTCCCGGGCCCCTGAGGATGGGGTCCTTCTGTCGAGTTCCTTCTGCAGGCTCCGTCCTCCCGGGCCCCTGAGGATGGGGTCCGTCTGTCGAGTTCCTTCTGCAGGCTCCGTCCTCCCCGCGCGCCCCAAATCCCCGACTCGAATCACGGGAATAACATCCGCTTGTTTCCTGCTCGACCTCGGGCGTCCCGGGGCTGAACCGTCACCCCCTCCCCCTTCCCCGCCCCCACCTCTCCTCCCGGTTGAACTCTACGGACCTCGGAACCCACGTTTCAGTACACGCTCGCGGGTTCACGGATTGTTGATGGCGACGACGAATACCGAAAGAGCTCGCGAGGTGTGTCAATTCTACCTTTGTTATTATATAAAGAATAAAATTTAAAAATATCCAACACATAGGCTGTTTTTAATAGGTCGATGGTCACTGATACACATTTTTCTTTACACATCAAAATTGTAAGAGCTCTGAAAAAACAACAAAAAAACTTTACGGAGGTATATGAGCCAGGTACATTTTTTTTTGTTTCAATCTAATCATCGGATGAAACTTGGCATAAACTACCGAAGCTTTGGAATCCGCTAAACGCTACGCTTACTCGCTAACTTTGACAGCCGCAAAATCACGGCTTCCCTCAGCACTTGACAACCCGGAGACAAAACATGACACGGTATCGCCGGAGGGAGAGTACACCGGGGTCCGTGCATATTCATGACAGTCATGATCGCCGGAAGGAGAGTACACTGGAGTCCGTGCATATTCATGACAGTCATGATCGCCGGAAGGAGAGTACACCGAGGTCCGTGCATATTCATGACCCAGCCTCCTCTATTGACGTCAGCGAGGTGGCACCACGTGCGATCCGCGGGACTAACGAGGTTATTCACGGGATGAGATGGGATTTCACTTCGACCCCGGGGTGCCACGACCTCCGCGGGGCCAGTGCCTCCCACGGCCGCCGGGTGCCTTATCCTCGATCGCCTTCCTTATCTTCAGAAGAATCCCTTTTCCCACAAGAAGCAAATAACTAAATCGCAGTTAGGAAATGGTGGCGTTTAATGGCAATAATCTACAACACTTCGAGTAAAAGGCTTTGTATTAGTTGATATTACTCCCGCGATAGAAACGATACAAAATTATCTTTTTCCCAAAAGTTCGTCTCATCAGCTTTCAGAACAAAAGCATCTAATTAAAAAAAAAAAAAAAAAAAAAAAAAAAAAAAAACAGCAATTTATTCCTCTTGACTGTTCATCTAAAAAAACTGCAATTTATTTATCGTCACTGTTATCCTCTGAACAGCATTCTATTGACATGTCCCGGCGTATCCATTAAGCATCGTCCCCCCCCCATTCAATAACACTTACCGTACCAATGAAGGCGTGATCTAAAAACAACCCTACGGTGTTTTTACCTTATCGTTACTGAGGTACATTACGCTAATTGAAATCTTCCCTGATAGCGCCGGTGGTGATTCCTGAGCTCTGCCGATATCACTTATATATAACTTATACCAGAGTTTAATATATCGTTATACCTAATATAATGTAATATAACTTATACCTATCGCCTAATAATATAATATAATATATAACTTATACCAGAGTTAAATATATCGTTATAACTAATATAATATATATACTTATACAGAGTTTAAATATATCGTTATACCTAATATATATATAATATAAAATACCAGAGTTAATATATCGTTATACCTAATATAATATATATAACTTATACCAGAGTTAAATATATCTTATACCTAATATAATATAATATAACTTATACCAGAGTTAAATATATCGTTATACCTAATATAATATAATATAACTTATTATATACCTATACCAGAGTTAAATACATCGTTATACCTAATATAATATAACTTAACTTATACCAGAGTTAAATATATCGTTATACCTAATATAATAATAACTTATACCAGAGTCTAATATATATATCGTTATCCCTAATATAATATAATATAACTTATACCCGAGTTAAATATATCGTTATACCTAATATATATAATATAACTTATACCAGAGTTTAAATATATCTATACCTAATATAATAACTTATACAGAGTTAAATTATACCAATATACCAGATTAATATATCGTATAATATAACTTATACCAGAGTTTAATATATCGTTATACCTAATATAATATAATATAACCAATACCAGAGTTAAATATATCGTTATACCTAATATAATATAATATAACCAATACCAGAGTTAAATATATCGTTATACCTATATCGTTATACTAATATAATAATAACTTATACCAGAGTCTAATATATATATCGTTATCCCTAATATAATATAATATAACTTATACCCGAGTTAAATATATCGTTATACCTAATATAATATAATATAACTTATACCAGAGTTTAATATATCGTTATACCTAATATAATATAATATAACTTATACCTGAGTTAAATATATCGTTATACCTAATATATACCTAATATAATATAATATAACTTATACCAGAGTTAAATATATCGTTATACCCAATATAATATAATATAACTTATACCAGAGTTAAATATATCGTTATACCTAATATAATATAATATAACTTATACCAGAGTTTAATATATCGTTCCACAGAGGAATCGTTGTTTATGCTAAGGCATCTGAATGGGAAAATATCAATACAAAAAAGGTTTTCGAAATCTAATAATAATAATAATAATAATAATAATAATAATAATAATAATAATAATAATAATAATAATAATGATGATGATGATGATGATGATAATGATACTAATAACAGTAACAGTAATAGTAGTAATAATAATAATAATAATAATAATAATAATAATAATAATAATAATAATAATAATAATAATAATAATAATAATAATAATAATAAGGTAATGATAAGAATGATAATGAACTACTAATAGTAAACAGTAATAATAATAATAATATAATAATAATAATAATAATATGATGATACTAATAATAACAGTAAAAATAATAATAATATAATAATAATAATAATAATAATAATAATAATAATAAATAAAATAATAATATAATAATAATAATAATAATAATAATAATAATAATAATAATAATAATAATAATAATAATAATAATAATAATAAAAATAACAATAACAATAACAATAACAATAACAATAACAATCTATTAAAAAAATAAAAAAAATACAAACGTCAATTATATAAATCAAGTCAGCTGCAATAAACTCCATACCATATAAAAACAATCACACGATACCCGATACCCACTTTCCTCTCACCAACAAAGACCCCAACTTCGATACAACAATACCCAACCAACGAACCTTCCTAATGCCCCGAAGCCACGTAAACCCAGGGAAAAATCACCCTAATCGACGTGTTGCTTATTCTTTCTTTCTCTCCTCTTTTCCCCGGTTCACGATCCGCGAAACACCATATAAGGAGGTTCACCGACGACAGTCAAGGGAAAAATGAGGAAAAATCACCCTAATCGACGTATTGCTTATTCTTTCCTTCCTCCTCTTTCCCCGGTTCACGATCGGCACACACACACACATATAAATGCAAACACTTGGGGATAAATAACAATGCTTCTCTCGTACACACACACACACACACACACACACACACACACACACACACACACACACACACACACACACACACACACACACACACACACACACACACACACACACACACACACACACACACACACACACACACACACACTCACACACACACACACACACACACACACACACACGCCACACACACGCACACACACACAACACCACACACACACACACACACACACACCACACGCACGCACCACACACGCACACACACACGCACACACACACACAACACACCATGATACTCACACACACGCACACACAACGACACACACAACACAGACACACACACACTCACAAATAAATATTAAATTGCAACACTTTGGGATAAATATTAACTGAACGGGGTTCTCGTGTGGTGCACACACCGGCGCTTTACGAACAGCCCCTCAGCCCACCCCTCCCCCCTCCCATTGCCACCCCCCCACCACCACCCACGCCATATGCTCATGGCTCACAACCCACAAATCCTTCTCAAGTACCGGGGTACAAGAAGGACGTTGGAAGTTTGGAACAGATCCAGGGAAACGGAGGGTGGGGTGGGGTGGGGTGGATGGTGGGTGGGGTGTGGAGTGGAGGAAGGAGAGGAGAAGGAGGAGGGAAGGAGGAGAAGAATGGAAAGGAAGGAGGGGAAGGAGAGAAAGCGGGGGAGAAGGAGGGAGGAGAGATGTGGATTGGGGGTGGAGGAAGGGAGGAGAGGGAGGAGGGAAAGGGAAAGAATGGGAGGAAGGAGGGAATGAGGAAGAGGGGGGGGAGAAGGAGGGAGGAGAGATGTTCAAGAATTGGACGAAGGGAGGAGGGAAGGAGGGATAGTAAGTGGAACGAAGGATAAGAAACATGATAAGAAGGAGGACGGGGATAGGAGAAGACAGACCGGATAGGAGAAAGAGGTGAGGGGACGAAAGGAAGGAGAGAGGCCAGGCGGGTAGTGACGAAAAGGAAGAGACAGAGAGAGAGAGAGAACGGCTCAAGATACAAAAGGCAGGAGAGGAGGAAGGAAGGGATTAAATGTAGAAAAAGTTAGGAGATGGGGCAGCGGCGGGGAAGCACAAGAGCCTCCGGGGAATGAGGCCTGAAGAGGGAGAGAGGGGAGGGTGGGAGGGAGGGAAGGGGGAAAGAGGGAGAGAGAGGGAGAGGAGAGGGAAGGAGGAGGGAACGGAGGGAGGGAGGGGAGGAAGAGGGATAATGGGAGGGAGCGGAGGAGGGAAGGGAGAGGGAAGGGAAGGGGAGGAGGGAGGGGGGGGGAGGAGAGAGAGAGAAGATGAGAGAGAGAGAGAGATGGAGAGAGAGTAGAGAAGAGAGAGAGGAGAGGAGAAGGAGAGAGAGAGAGAGATATGGATGGAGAGAGAGGAGGAGAGAGAGAGAGAGAGACATGGAGGTTCCGATGGTGCGCAGAATGCCTCCAGATATGACGGTCCTAACGAGGAACAGAGAAACAGGAGAAAAAAATAATACATAGTAAAAGCAATTATATATTATATATATATATATATATATATATATATATATATATATTATATATACGCACACGAACACAGCGCGCGCACGCACACGTGTGTATTGTGTGTGTGTGGTGTGTGTGGTGTGTGTGTGTGTGTGTGTGTGTGTGTGTGTGTGTGTGTGTGTGTGTGTGTGTGTGTGTGTGTGTGTGTGTGTGTGTGTGTGTGAATATATATATATATTATATATTAATATATATATATATATATATATATATATAATATATATATATATATATATTAATATATATCATATATATATATATATATTATATATTATATATATGTATATATATGTTATATATGTATGTATATGTTATAATGATATATATATACATATATATATATATATATATATATGAATATATATATATATATATATATATATATATATATATATATCCGCACACGAACACGGCGCGCACGGACACTCGTGTGTGTGTGTGTGTGTGTGTGTTGTGTGTGTGTGTGGTGTGTGTGTGTGTGTGTGTGTGTGTGTGTGTGTGTGTGTGTGTGTG